CAGATATCGAGGAGATATTAAATACAACGTCTACAACATGGCTTTTTTATGTGGTAAGATAATCGCAAATAGCACAATGTGAAACAAATTATTCAATGCGAATTATATTTTTAGATGTTGAAGGAAATGTATCGTTGTTTTCAACAACACACAATAAAATACTTTTGGGATGATAAATATAATTTGTTATCGAGAATTAAAAAAGCTGAGATGAGTAATATAACAGGACGTTTGCAAAACATTATAAAGCAAATTGAACGAAATGCACCGTCCGATCCATTTATAGTAGCTAAATTAATTTGTAAGTTTATATCTCTTGGATTGTTTAAACAATGCATCTATACTTTCATAAAATTCTATACAATCTTTGTTTTAAATTTCAGTGGATCAACAAGAATTTGAATTGTTGATGGAAGAATGTAATAGAAGAGGGTTTGAAAATATGAGTATTAAGGGTAAGTAATTGAAACAAGTATAATACAGTAAAAACTTGTTACGATGTTGTATAAGTGTAATCATTTTTTAGACGACGATCAAGGACAAAATGATGGATGGACATGTAATATATCATAATAAATAATATTATGTGGTATGAACGCTTTTACAAAATTGTAAATTTTTGTCTGTGACAATAAAAGGAATTGTAACTATTTTTAAAAAGAAGTGTTTTTTAATAACTTTCATTTACATGAGATATACATATATTATAATTTTGCGAACTTAACATTAGGATAGATCTTAGTCACACTCTTGGCGAAAATAAAATTCTTCAGCTTTTTTCGAACCATCCCCTAGGATTGTGGCACTGGGCGAAAAAAAATCTGTGCAGAATGTTAGATCGATCGAACAAGAGGAACGCATGTCTTCTTGAACTTGAATGTTTTTTTTTTCTTTTTTTAAATCGTTTTTCATTGCTATACATTCAAGCTCTATAACTGTGCCGAAGAAAATACAAGGATAATGTAATAAAAATCGTCACTTATTAATAGCAAAAATATTAAAATACATTATTTCACACACACATATGTACGAAAATGTGTTTCATAAAACACTAATAATGTTAACTATTATTCTACTCTGATAGTTTCCAAGTGATTCAACTTGGAGTACTTTTCACCTTCTTAGCCTCTTTAATATGGATCACGAATGATTAAATGAGGCACACGTCACAAATAGTTTTCTAGGAGATACTTCCTCCTGAAAATATCATTAAAATTCATTGATATCACCTCTGCTTGTTCCTTACGTAAAACTTTATGTTAGTCGCTACAGTATGTTGTGCGGGAATACCCTCTAGTGTAGACGTCTGCAATCTCTACATCTCCACGTCACTATATTCGCAGTCATATGCATACAGTTGACGAGAGTGCGTTGTTCGGCTAGAAGAGGTATGTTCTACTCACAAACGACAATAGTACGATTCCATTGTTGCTATTCTTAAGGTGAAGGCTGTACTTTCGAAAGGGACCTGCAGTAAGATGATGGTGATATAGAAGATGTTGAAAGAGGAGATACGATTATTCGAGCCTTGGCGTCCAGTTTTGATATAGTTGTTGACAATATTGAGACTCGAATAATCGTATTTCCTCTTTTCCCACGGTGTCCATTTTGGTCCAAAAGCTGAAGGACAATTGGTGAAAATGTTCTGTAGTTATTAATATCTGTAACAAAAAGCTCTAGTTGACTTGCAAATTTTGTTCATAATTAAAGAAAGGTATTCTTTATTTTTGTCGATCTAGCGAAGTCACCACATTTAACAATCTATCGCGATATTTTCAGATTTGCCAAAATGTGACACTGTCGTTGACCAGGTTTTCCTTCAAGTGTGCGAACACAATCGGAGAAGATGCTTATTTTCTATACATAAATAAAAAATCAACCTTGACATACGCGTCATCTAGGAGGCGTATGTATACGGAGGATTTATTGCGGCAGAGCCAAAAGTTTTTCATGTCATTTCATTTCATCTTGAAGCTAAAATTGTACATTTTCGTGCCACTTCCTCTCATTCTCATCAAACGTCTTGAACGGCAGCAAATCCCTTTCGGAAGTTTATGGAAACAGAAAGTGCATTCCATCTTGCATGTGTACATTTAACTTACTCGACAATTTTCTGTTCAATCAAAACCCGCTGAAAACCATTTATTTCTTTTTACGAAGAAAATAATTGCTAATTGCATTATAGTCTAAAAAGGAATCGTAGTATTTGATAAATCGATTATATAATAGTTTCGCAACTCTGATTGTACTTCATTATATCTGTTAATTTAATTTTTATTTATTGACACAGTTATAACGAATTTATTTTAAAGTAAAATATCAGATTTTATTGAAAAGTTGTACATTCGCTAAGAGCGTATTTGGATATCTTTGAAGACATAAAATAATAATAATTTCATTGGACTAAGCTATATCAAGATTGGAATGAACTACTGTAAAGAAAACTTTGAAAAAACGTTCAATGTCGAAAACATGGAAAAGATATTAAAGGCCACTTTTTATAATTTCAATCAAAACCCGCTCTGAAAACCATTTATTTCTTTTTACAAAGAAAATAATTGCTAATTGCATTATAGTCTAAAAACGAATCGTAGTATTTCATAAATCGATTATATAATAGTTTCGCAATTCTGATAGTACTTTATTATATCTATTAATTTAATTTTATAGTTATAACGAATTTATTTTAAAGTAAAATATCAGATTTTATTGAAAAGTTGTACATTCGCTAAGAGCGTATTTCGATATCTTTGAAGACATAAAATAATAATAATTTCATTGGATTTACTTTAAAGAAAACTTTGAAAAAACGTTCAATGTCGAAGACATGGAAAAGATATTAAAGGCCACTTTTTATAATTTCATCGAATTTGATTGATACAGAAAGCCAACGACTGGCACGAAAGTCGTAAAAATCTGTCATTGTTCAGTAAGCTTAAGAGAGTGAACTAACTTTTATATTAAAGACACAAAAATTATAATTATATAGATGGATGATCCGAGATTGCGAAGATATCTGAAGGATGATAGACCGTTACAATTGGTAGAGAGAATGTTCATAACACTTCAAATGGAGGAAGTAAAGGAAGCCAACGCACTTTTGACCGAGGTATTTCGATAACTTCAAACTTCATTTGCTCGCAGAGCCCTTGAAGATTACAAATATTGTTTTGCAGTACCCCTGCTTTGCGAAATCACTATAAATAAACTATATGAAAATTTTAGCTTCTCAGCTTCCTTCTCCGAAATTTGTTTTCGAATTTTAACTTTGATTCGCGAGACTCCTAAAAAGGACGCACAGAATTCCAGAAATCTGCGAAACATAATTTGAAAATCATTGGATTACAATACAGTAAAAGGTGTTTAATTATTTTCACGTTATTAATGCAGCAGGGAAGAGTCGAATAAAGTGTGTGAGCGCAGCAGAGTACGTATTACGAATTTAAATAAGGGAAAAAGTAGAATTTAGAGGTCCTTCAACCCTTTGCACTCGAGTGGCGACGCTGAGGCGCCATTAAAATTGTTACACCATTTTTCAAAAATAATTGCAACAGTATCAGATTCGTTTATGATTAATAAAAGAAAAACTGTTAAAATTGCAAGTATCGTACTTGCCAATAGGCTGAATTTCATATGCATAAATCGTTATAAATCATATAAGACGGAAATACCACATAGATTAGAATTGATATGATATTGTCGAGAACTACCGAAATGGGACTTATGACGCCGCTAAATTCGGTACACGAATGAGCAATATTTGAGAAAGTAACAATGGTAGTTCTTACTTTTAAGAAGAACCAAAGAATTAAAGATAAAAACTGGAAATAAGGCATGGAAGTTCAAAGAGAAATCTAGTCAAGGAATTCATAAAGGAAAAGAAGGCCGAGGGATGGAAGCTAGAAACGCAAAAAATGAGAGAACTCAGTGCAATATAGGTGCAATCGAGAATAGAGAAAGGTAAACAAATTACGGAGAAACTATGGAAAAGTAATTTAAAAGTACAACAACAAATGAAAATAATAAAATCTTAAAAGCAAAGTTTGACCAAAGATATGGGTACTAGATATTAGGTATAGTACTAGACTATAGGTACTAGCAGTAAGATAAAAGACGATACAGCTCTACCCAAATACTTAAAAGTAAAAGGTATGAAAGGAAGCCAGCGGTTAATCCGGGAATTTATTAGAGAATGCAGAGAATTAGATGAGATACTACAGGAAAAAGGGTAATAGAGCGGTAGACTGGTTGAGAAATTTATAAAGGAGAAGGAAGGAGAGATAAAGGGAGAGGATGTGGCGCGCGCGTATGTGTGTGTGAAAGACTGAAATAGTTAAGCAACTTATAAATATCGCAAAACCGAATTCCTTTTCGTAGGCGGAAGACTAAAAATAACTGAACATTCTATTTTGATAAAACAGATAATCAATAATTTGGTAGACAGAATGCGGATGGAGAATTCTTTATTTAAGAAAGCATACAACAAAGTTGTTTTTTGTGGTAGTTTTTACAAGGGAACTAAAATAAGCGAACCAAACGAATTTGATATAAATATTGTGTTAAACTTACATAATGTTCTCCACAATGACATACAGGTAAAAATTACATTAGCATAATTTATTATTTAGCATTTTATGTAATATACATTATGTTACGAGGATCTACAGGATCTGTGCATTTCCGCAGCTTGATTTTATTGAACCAGGGTTTGTCAGAATTCGAATAATTGGTTCAGTTTCCTCGAGATACATCTTGACAGAAGGAGAAAAAAGGTCAGAGAATGCTCAATATGTTTTCAGATAATTTTGTCGAAATTGCTTAGGTTTGTTCAATTCGGTATCCCGCTTTTGAATCTGTCATAGCTTAAGCTTTCAAAGCTGCAAAGATCGAAAGTCCAGGGCAAATTTTATCGTTAAATTTTTATTATAATTAATCGTAAATTATAAAATTAGGTCCGAAAAAGAAAGAATAGAATATATGAAACTGCAGATTCTTTCTGAGGAACAGAAATATTGTTCAAGTGGCAGAATTTAAAAAAGAAAAACTGGTTTTGAAATTTCGATAATTATCACGGTAAAGACATAAAAAATATACACAAGCCTAATCAATTTTATGTATTAAATTATAATTGTTTGGTATAATAAATAAGAACGACAACCTAATTAAAAACGTTGCACTTTATAGACAATTAAGACGACTTATAGATAATAATAATTATCTCGATCCACACAAATTTCGTTACTGGTTCGAAAGTATTATAAGTGACTTTATCAGTAAGATATCATCGACATATAGTAGTAGATCCTACGAATTCGTTAAAACAAAAAAATCTGGTCCTGCATTTACACTACTATTTAAAAATTACGATTATCAAAGAGAATTTTCAATTGATATAGTTCCTGTATTAACTTTTGATACAAGATGTGTTATTGGTCGTACTATAAACTCTGAGGTTATTATATGTTTCTTATTTTCAAATGTATTTTTGTATACAAATTTGTACCACCTATACACTTGTACATGACTCCAAAATAACTTTCACTTCAGTTTACCAATAAAGAATGGTTTGCAGTATCAATAAGTCAAAAGATTTCATCACTGCCTCTATGGAGACAATCTTACGTTTATCAAGAAAATGAAATTCTTTCTCTAAATGGTCGTATAAAACAAACTATACGTCTGATGAAGGTCTGTTAAAAAATTTATTGTTAAATGTCCTTATTATATATAGCATATTTTTATAGCACTATCACATTTATAGAAATTAAGAGATACGCACAAGTGGACTAGCATAGCAAGCTACTTTATAGAAACAGTATTTTTAAATAAGTTACCAGATATCAAGGAGATATTAAATACAACGTCTACAACATGGCTTTTTTATGTGGTAAGATAATCGCAAATAGCACAATGTGAAACAAATTATTCAATGCGAATTATATTTTTAGATGTTGAAGGAAATGTATCGTTGTTTTCAACAACACACAATAAAATACTTTTGGGATGATGAATATAATTTGTTATCGAGAATTAAAAAAGCTGAGATGATTAATATAACAGGACGTTTGCAAAACATTATAAAGCAAATTGAACGAAATGCACCGTCCGATCCATTTATAGTAGCTAAATTAATTTGTAAGTTTATATCTCTTGGATTGTTTAAACAATGCATCTATACTTTCATAAAATTCTATACAATCTTTGTTTTAAATTTCAGTGGGTCAACAAGAATTTGAATTATTGATGGAAGAATATTATAGAAAAGAGTTTGAAAATATGAATATTAATGGTAAGTAATTGAAACAAGTATAATACAGTGAAAACTTGATACGATGCTGTATAAATGTAATCATTTTTTAGACGACGATCAAGCACGAAATAGATAGATATGTAATATATTATAAGTAATATTAAGTGGTATGAATGCTTATACCAAATTTTAAGTTTATCTGACAAAAAAAGAATTGCAGTCATATTACAAACAAACGATTAAATAAATTTTACTTACATGTACAATATACACATATATGTATACTTACACATGTATGTACATATTTAATACCTTCGGGCCGAAGTAGAATTGTATCCAGCATTGGTAAACTAAATTTTTAAAAATCTGTGGTAATAGCTAAAAGTTCCGTAGAATTTTGTAAATTTCCTTTTAAAATATTCATAAAAATTAATAGATCTCTCAGCATTCTTCCAGTAAATGGAAATGGATTTCCATTCGCAATCCATTGGAATCGTCAATCCCATTTCTGAAGTCTTCTTTCCACCACTTGGAGCAGATTCCAAGAAAAATCCCTGACACCATTGGACACATTGGCTTTGAGTAGAAATTCCATGAATGGTCAGAATACTGAAAGATCTGTGGGGAAAGTATGTGGTAGAGGTGGAAATAATGGGTGTTCTGTTATACTAAAAATACGCTGCGCTAGGTTTGTCGCCTAAACATCCACTTAGTAATTTCCCTCATTATTTTGTCCGTGCACCCTGTCTCTTACACGTGCCTATTTCTACAATCGGGTAAAAATATGATATGTGCATATAGAGATCTGGGAAAGGGAAAGAATCTAGAAATAGAAATACACTTTTATAACTTAGAGCAAGCATAAGCATGGAACGTAATTGTTCTATAAAATTACACTGGAAAATAAGAAATAAAAAGAACATGCTATTTATTAAAAGATTTAGGCTATTTGAAATAATATGTACAGGCGATTTGTAAAAGAGAAGAAAATTGTATTACCTACAACAATGGAACCTATTCCTGCATGCTTTTCTTACTCCCCAAGCCGACACGCACATCCTCATTGTTGTATTGACCCCCGCTAACGGATCTAGCTGCGGCCTGGAGATGTGCAGGAGTAGATCACATTCAGATCTCTCAGCATGCTGACAGCTTTACGACTTTCTTTCAAGAAAGTAGGAGTGGGAGAATTAACCATTACACAAATGTGGGATTAGAATCGTTCGTCTGATCCCATTACTGTAAATAAAAAATACTATGATTTGAATCACGCGCATTAAAGTGCCTGTTGGACTTGCTGGTTTTTTAGTCTCGCTACCACGGACTTACGAATAAAGGGACGATGCACAAACTAGATTGGCGGGTCACATAGCATCTTGGATCGGAAGAAGTATTGAGACCTTGGATCATAATGGCCTAAGGTTGAGATATTCACGTAAAATGAACGAAGACATAGTTTTGAACATACAATAGCGAACAGCCAATTCCCACCGCATTCCTGAGCAAACATCATTTCTCACTTACATGAGTATTATATGTAGTGGTACATATATACATTACATAGTGTAGTATGTAAGTACATACTCTTAGCTTATATTCTAAGTATGGATATGAGTGTACATATGTAATACTGAACCCAACGTGATCCGATGGAAGGGTCGCCAAAATACGATCGTACATAGCTATTTGTGTATAATAATTAATGTCTCAATTATTAGATTCTGTCATGCTTGAATAAGAATGCAGCCGTGTTACAAACATTAACTTCATTTTTCTTATTGTTTGTTCAAATTAACAAACTACTATATATACATTATAAAACACTAACAAATATACAGGTTATGACATGCAACGGAAAATGTTCCCTGGAGGAATACTTGTAACAGTTGCAAAACGATGTAACAATCTGTTGTTCAACTTATTAAAGCAACAGCAAACTTTACATTCATATTATTTTAAAAAGAAATGTCTTTTCTTTTTTGCCCCAACAAATACATTACAATATTCGAGTGACAGCTCGTTAAAATGTTGGAATTGCAATTTTATTTACAAGTCCAAGCTATTTTGTTCAAAATGCAATACACTACAAGAACCACCTGAAAATTTAACTTATTTTGACTTAATGGACATCCCCGAAAGTTACGATGTAACAGTAACAGAAATTCAAAGCAAGTATAAAGAACTTCAAAAATTATTGCACCCTGATAAATTTGGCACGAAGTCAGAGGTAAGGATTGTGTAGTAGATCAAGCGCATTATAATTAATATATGGAAATATTCCTTATAAATTATCTTATCCTCTTTTACAGAAAGAAAAGCAGCTGTCTGAAAACCTGTCATCGTTAATAAATAGTGCTTATAGTACATTATCAAACCCTTTGCACAGAGGACTATATATGTTAAAATTAAATAACATTACAATATCAGAAGGGACATATAGTATGGATCCAGAATTTTTAATGGAAATTATGGAGAGGAATGAAAGGATAGAGGGTGCGCTAAATAATCACACAAAAATAAAAGAACTCGCTAAAGAGAATGAAATAATATTAAATAGCTTGTCAATGTAAGTTAGTTACCCTTTTTAAAAAAAAAATTTAATATTTTAATTTACTCTTAACTATATATATAATGAAATATTTTTTTTAGGAACATTGCAA